GCCGCCGCCGCCGCCGCCGCCGCGCTCCCCCAAGCCGCCCGACGTTCCCGGCCGGGACGCCGTCGAGGCGCTGCCGGCGCGGCTGGCAGCGGCGGCGACGGCGTGCGGAGATATTGAATGCCGGCTGCGGTGGCTGTCGCCGTGACGCCGAGCCAGGGATTCCAACGCCGCCCGCGACGCCGCCTCCAGCTCAACCTGGCGCGGATCTTCGGGCTGCAAACCCTCCAGGGAAGGACCCGCCGGCATCGTACTTTGTCCAAGGGCAAAGTAACTGAGGCCGGAACGGTGGTGGTACGCCACAGGGCTATCAGGTACGGAACCCGGGGAGGAGGCGGCGCCGCCGCCGCCGTCGGCGGCGGCGTCGGAGGCGCCGCCGACTAGGACGAGCCGCGGCGATTGGCCGGCGGAGGGCTCGGTTGGCGAGGCGACCGGAGAGGCGCGTGAGCGCACGCGGCGGCTGGGGAACGCGGACCACACTTGATGTGCTGTGGGGAGAGCCGTACGCCGTGACGGACTGCCGCCGTCAGGTGGATTGTCCGCGGAGCTCGGTACTGCGCCTGACTCCTCGCCGGCGGTGCTGCCGCTGGTGCCGGCGGCACCTGACGGCGGCGGCATCGCCGCCGCCGCCCCCGCCGCCGCCCCTGCCAACGACGGCTGCTCTACCGGAGCCCGCGGAGCCTCCCCAGCTACGGCCTGCTGCCCGTCGCTGCTGCTGCCCACTGTAGCAGAGGCGGCGGCGGTGGCGGCGGCGGCCGCCGGTGCTGTCGCAGCGACGGCAGCGGCATCAGCGGTGCTGGCGGCCGCCGTGGACTGGGCCACGGCCAGAGACCATTTCGGTGCTGACATGGCGGGGCGTGTGGTGGTGGGCCCGGCCTGCGCGGCATCCCGCTCCTGTTGCTGCTGCAGCTGCTGCTGCTGTAGCCGTTGTTGTTGCTGCAGCTGTGCTTTCGCCGCTGCAGCCCTTGCCTCTGCTGCATCTCGCTCCGCCACCGCTGCCGCCACGACGAGATGAATGTGTCGGTGCTTCTCTCGCACTCGATTGTCCTTCGCGCTCTTCTGCGATTCGAATAGCGCGCCCCCGCTAGCGGCGGCGGCAGCTGCCGCTGCCGGCGTTGCATTTGCCAAGCCTTCCGCCGCCGCCGCCGCCGCTGCTGCGGCCGCTGCCGCGGCCGCCGCCGCCAGTGCTGCTGCCGCCGGCCCTCCAAAGGCATCCCGTGGGGACGCCTCTACCTTCGCCGCCGTCACCGCTGCCGATGATGACGTCATCGCCGCGACCTCGGCATCAAGCGCACCATCCTGCACACCGCTTGCCGCTTGCGGTACAGCCGCCGCCGCCAACGCCGTTGCTCCCGCCGCCGCTGCCGCCGCCGATTCGCGCTTGTCCAGCTGCGTCAGTCGGCGTGCGGGCAGGAGCTCGATTCGACGGCTCTGACGGGCTCCCGCCACCCCTACCACCCGCCCGCTGCCGCCGCCGCCGCCAGCACCACCGATGATGCTCCCGACGCCGGATCGCTTGGCGGCAGTGGCTGTGGGGGACGTCCGTGAATCGCCAGCGCTAGCCGGCTTGCGCATGAGTGTCATAATCTGCTCCACGGGTACCTACAGACAGACATACAAATGAACATGAACATGGAATTCACGGGAGTTGCAGGACACGCGAGCCATGAGCAAGGACAAGGTGTTTCGGAGAGGGATCATGGCAGAACCGGGAACGTAATGACTTGTTTGCGTACGACAGACGCTTCCTGTACGGCAAACACTGACACCTTTACCCCACATCCCATACACAACCCGGCCTGGTACGGCCCTCCCCGTACAAACCAGCCGCATACGGCCTCCATGGCTTTACCTTGAGCTGCCCGGACAGGTACGTCAGCCGCTCCAGGGTAGTCGCGCTGACACGCATCTCACTAATGCCGTACAAGCGCCCCGCCGTGCCACCAATCGGTATGGGTGACGAGCTGCGGCGCTGCCGACCGGGGCCCTTCCGCTGATAGTGCTCAAATTCGTACACCGCATCCGCCGCCGACGCGGGCACATTCGAGCCGCCGGCGCTCAAGTGCAGCTTCAAGGGCGATTGCCGGCCGCCTCCGCCACCGCCTCCGCCGCCTCCACCGCCAGCACCAACAGCGGCGGCGCTGGTGCCGCTGACGCGGGTGGTACGGCCTGCCTCCCCTGCCGCCTCCGTCGCCGCCGCCGCCATGAGCCGATCCAGGAAGCCGGGGCCCCATCGGGCCACCAGCGCCTGGATATGCTCGCCGAGGGCGTCCTACACACGACAAACATAAGCACACACACGCACACACATGTATGGTACACCACGCACTGAACCATAACGTCCAACGACTCCCCCAACGTTTCTCGCAGCTAAATAGTCCCGCGCAAGAAATGGCCCCCTGTTGTTTTATGTTTTTTTCGTCAAGGAATTACATCATTAATATTTGAATTGGGCAAACTTTTGCGAATATCCAATCGTGCGAGATAAAATCGAAAATCGAATATGCCAAGCACAGTCTGAAAATAAAAATAATAATATCTGTCAGGATATAAGTCTTCCGTCAGCAAAATGTGCCGCAGCGTGACACATTCGCCCCATTGCGACGACGACGCACCTGCGCCCTCGCGAGCCGCTCCGCCATTTCCCGCTGGAAAGCCCGTTCCTTCTCCGCCCTCTCCGTAGACAAGTCAGGCTGGTAGTGCCTGCTGGGGCGGACAACACAAGGTGCGGGTCATGGAGGAAAGGGAGCGCGGAGGGGTGGACAGGTGGGAGGAGAACTACCGATACGCCAAAACACACGCACCTTTGCACCCGTACGACAACGGCGCTGGGCCGGCACAGTAGGTAGGCAGGTAGGCAAGCTACCTGACATACAGGCCCCCGACAACCATATGTCATGCCGCTCCATTCCTCCTGCCGTGTTTTTCATTTGTTTCTTAATTTTAAACATTATTTACTTAATAAATATATAATAATATTATGTTTTATATAATATAATAATAATTATATATAATATAATAATAATTATATATAATATAATAATAATTTCTTGTTTATGAACATCTTGCGTGTTTTCCATTCTCCACATTTGTAATTATTCTTTATTATTTTTAATTAATTTTAAACGCTCCGCCTCTCACCTGCGCGCACTGTCCTCCCGTAGCCCCTTGCCACCGGTCCCCAGGCCGCCGCGAGACGTGGACGCAGGCGAGTAATACAGCCCGCTGTCTGCCGCCAGGCCCTTCACACTGCTGGGCAGCAGACTGAGATTGAAGTACGTACGCGCCTCCGTGTGATACGGCTTGGCCTTCACCACCGGACCCCGTCCGCCGCCCACAAGCGCATCTGCGAAGCGCTGAAAGTCCGAGTCACGCCCGGAACGAGAGCGGGAGGTGGAACCAGCGGCGGGGGCGCTGGCGCCGCCGGTGGCGCCGGCGGCGCCGGCCGGCGCCGATGCACCGGCGGTGGCGGCGGCTCCGCCGCCGGCGCCGCCGCTGGCACCGCCTCCAGCGTATCCCCCAGATTGTACGGCCTGGCGGCGCAGCTCCCGACGTAGGGCTGCGGAGCTGACGGTCGCTGAGGTTGTGGGGGTGGTCATGGAGGTCCGCGCGGGGGTGCTGCCGGAGTTGTGGAAGAGTTTGGGCGTGTCTGGGAGGCCCTGTTCCTTGCGCGTGGAGTTGAAGGCATCTCGTGCGGCCTGTGTCGGGTGGTGTATGTGTGTGTGTGTGTGTTCATGGCGGGTAAGAAGCGCGGGGAAGGGGAAACGCGTCTTGTACGGCCGCAGTTCATCGGTGGCAGAACGTGGGAACGGGTCGGGAAGAGACGAAGGGTGGCGGATGCCAAATGCTCCAGGGGGCCCCAGGCATCTCAGGGCTCTTCCAGCAGTTCAGCAGTTCAGCCCGGATGTTTGCAAACATAACCCAACGACTTATGACCCACAGCGCGAGAAGATCAATCCATTTGCTGCATGTTGTGACCCACATCAAAAAAAGCAAAAAATGCCATCATGCCCGTACTGTTAAGCGGGGGGGACTGCGGGTGGGGTGTGTATGTGTGTGTGTCTCTCGTGAGCGGGCGGGAGGTGCCACTTCCTAGGGGCTGACGGCGGCTGTCGGGGACTACTCCCGACAGAAGGCTGCTTTGATTGCACGGCTTCGCTTGCGGTGTTGTGGCAGGTGGGGCTTGGAATGTGGGTCCTGGTTTCGAAGGCATCCGGCCAACCAGCGGGGTGAGAGGCCGTTTGTTATCAAGATATGCAAAGGGTTAGCTGGTTGGCTAAGGGCCGTGATGATGGCGACACTGGGTGGCCGTTTTCATAGGAGGGCCTTTAGGACCGGGAAGGCCACTGTGATATGCAGCCGCAAGCCCACGGGTGCGCTCGAGGTGAGCTCACCTCAAGCTTCTTCTCGAGGGAGGTGAGCTGACGGGTGCGCTTTGAGTAGTAGCGCACGCCAGAGCCATCTGCGGGATGTGCGTGCGTGCAGGGTTCCGCGAATTGGGATGTGATTGTACGGGCGAGGGGGGGATGCCGCATAAAGACAGTGGTATCGACAAGTTTAAGTGCATAGTTGCAAAGGTTGAAGACTGAGCGTATTCCGCCTTGAGCAACCGTGCAGTCAGGCGGTATCCCGTTCATGCACGGCATGCCATTTCCCAAGGCATGCCAGTACACCATGGACGGGAATGGTAAAGAGCGCTCGCTCAATGTGTTAAACATATACTAGGCGTACCGAGGATAGCATCCAGGGGTGGTATGGGCTCCTCGTGCGGCATTTCAGTATTGTACTCTGGGCGTTGCACTTAACAAAAACAGCCCATTTGACCAAATCTGTTCGATAGTTGTTAGAATGGTCTTGGGACCAGGTTAAAACATGTTTTTTGCGTAGCAAACCGCGGAGTTATATTGCGGTTGCACCTCTACTTTCACGATAGCCCGTTTTAACATCACATGCATGACAAGCAGTTAATACAATGGACAGCAAGCTGCCTGCACCTTGGACTGTTCGCGTGCAAGGGGACAACCACTTAGAGAGTACGGAGAACTTCCGCGGGCCTTATGTTTTGGCAGGTGGCTCCGTAAGGCTCGGCGAGCCCCGAAGTAAAGTCTCTTTCAACCGGCGGGCCCAACAGTGTCGCACCCTGGGAAGGTGAGAAGCTTATAACATAATATGCCAAGAGTTGCGGGCAAAAATGCGGCGCACAGCTGGTCTCAGGCGTATATTAGACAATTATGGCATATAGACATTAAGTAAAAGCTATGTCCATGAAGTAGGGCTCGGAAAGCTCGCAGCTTGGCGGCTTTCAGCTGGGACGGCTTGCCGGCGGCAGCAATGCAGGCGAACAGTATGATGGCTTACGATAGTTGCAACTCTTATAATGGCTTTCCTCAGCCCAGCAACGAATGGATGTTCCCCCGGAATCTTGTAGCAGAGGGGCGGCTGGAGATGACAGACTGCACCGCAGCACAAACCGGCAGAGCGACCGAGATATCAACGATTACGAGCTTAGCCAATAAGGCTTCCTGTCTTTAAGCCGCCGCTATGGACTTAGCTACACAGGAACCATGCAGGGCATCTCGCTACAAGCTTGATGAACAACTCGCAACTTCGTACTCCTGCAGGGCCTGTTAAAAATGGTGCAGCCCCTGAAGAAGGTCAAGATTGTGAAGAAGCGCACCAAGCATTTCGACCGGCACCAAAGCGACCGGAAGGACTCGATTAAGCCCTCATGGCGCAGGCCCAAGGGTATTGATAACCGCGTGCGCCGCAGGTACGCTTCACGGGTGTAGAGTGGGGATCGCGTGGGGTCACCGTGCACACGACCGTCACACACGTTACGGCCTGACCGCAAGATAAACCATGGGCGCTTCCCTCATGGGGTGTCAGTGTTTGGATGACAGCAACCTCCTCACGGAAGCAACCTGATCGTGAATTTGCTGGTTTGGCCTGTGACGCCGGGTTTTGCTTGGATCCTACGTTCTTGCCCAAGGGGTGTTTTAGGATAAAATACTCCACGCATGGGGCGATACTCCAATGAGGGTGATGCCGACACATTGAACGCCGTGATGGCATGCTGCTTTCAAATCAAGTAGCACGCTACAGCGTTGCGCGAGTTTTTGGACTTATATGATGCTGTTATGCCACGACGACAGTGCCGACGATGACGTCCTCTTCGCCTGCTGCTCGCTATTTGTCGCCCCTTAGGTTCAAGGGCGCCCTGCCGATGCCCAACATCGGCTACGGGTCTAACAACAAGACCAAGCACATGCTCCCGAACGGTTTCCTGAAGTACACGGTCCACAACGTTAAGGACCTGGAGCTGCTGATGATGCACAACAGGTCCGTTGGGTGCAGGATTCTGGAGGACAGGGGCTTTTGGAAAGGGAAGGCACAATAAGGGGGGGGAGAAACAGTTAATTGCGAGCGAGTTTATAGATATATGGTGGGGTAACGACGCCTGCCCAGGTTATCCAAGCATCTAAGTGCGGCATCCAAGGGGTTCAAATCGTCGCCGATGAAGTTTTGGTACCTTCAGGCCCATCTTTGCAGCATCACGGGCAATGCACCCAAATCCACGGTCATCGGCGTTGATGGAATTGGCGACATAAATAGCAACCAGCCCGAGCTGTACCTGCGGTGTCCGTCATTTCGTTGATGACGTGCATGCATCCATTCCCCCGGGGACTTTCGTGGCGAACGTGGGTACTCGTGTAGCGCAAGCAAAGTTAAGAGTTGCCGCGGCTTCATGCGCTGCGGCTGCCTACTGCGGAAGTCCTGGTTTCATGAATGGGGATGCTACATGGCATGTGAAATAAGCAAGTTGTTTCATGGTGTGGCCATGCTTGCGATGGCTTGGTTGGGAAGGCCTATTCATTCATCTTTTTTCCACTGGGATGCTTTCGCCTGAGGATACGAACCGCATTTTTCTTGTTTTGATGGTGCAGGCGCTTCTGTGCCGAAATTGCGCACAGCGTTGCCGTGCTCAAGCGCAAGGCTATCGTGGAGCGCGCTGCTCAGCTGAACATCCGCGTCATCAACGGCAACGCTCGCCTGCGCAGCCAGGAGGACGAGTAAACAGCACGTCTTGCTGCGTGTTGTTGCTAAGCTCTGCTTGGCTTCTGCCGCCTGCTGGGGGGAGGAGAGCAGCCAGGGCTATGGCTGCTGCATCTACTCGCGTGTAAATTTTCACCGTGCACACTTCAGAGTCGATCCATAGCTTTGGTAGCGACGATAACATGCTGAAGCACCTTCAGCAGCGCTATACCTCAATTGAATGTCGGTTTCAGTTGCATGAATTAATGACCTCCCTGGTAACGATCTTACAACGTGAACATGTCGGCGATCCCGGCACAGTACTGAATGGCATCAATCGCAAGACGCAGTCAGAACAGCTCATCTATCACCAAAACTACCATGTTCCGTCCTTGCTCTCGATTTCGCCGAGGATTTCCGATGCGATACAGCTAATCCTAACTAGTGAACACAATCGTATGCTATACCTTGCTTCGTGTAAACAACGACCGCGCTGCTGAATTTAAACACATTCCTTATCTGTATGGCTCAGGATTCGACATCTGCACAGCCTCGACCACGCCACTATTATACATGCATGCACACTGTTGCACGCGGCTGAGCATGTGCGGCATCCCCAAAGCTACTACTAGCACCAGAACAATGAGCAGCGGCCGTCAGGAGGTGGAGGACCAATAATCAGCACAAACACCACAAGTAAAATCAGGCTGGCTGCCGTCCCTGCCTTCAAGAAGTCTGCATTGCTCCAAAGGTCCACGAGCACCCTTTCCGCCCGGCGGATACGCTCACCCTCTTGCCCTCCCCACCCGCCCGACCCGCTGCTGCCGCTCAGCACCCGCCGCGGCGGAGGGGCCCGGCGCGGCTCCGTCCGGCTTCCCGTCGTCCTGCGCCCGCTGGTGGTGCTCTTCACCTCCACTTGCGAGCGCAGCTGACGTTGGAAGCTGCGGACGGCAAGTGGATGGCGTGACGGGTGAGGTATGTGAGTAATCGTGCTGAACTTGACCGGGTGAAAATAATTGTTGCGCAACCCAAGCTATGCGCGTTTAAGTCAGGCGGGGGATTGGGTGCACCCCTCTTGTCACAACCTTCAAGCCCCTCTGTCACGTGTGCTTTGCATGGGTTTTGCAACGAATTTGGTTTGGGTGTTGTTCGCGCGAATAATCGTTGGACCTGTGCCTGTCGCGTGCGAAGCTCGCGCTTCCTACCACGCCTTAAAGTTTGTCGCTCAGTAGCGCGCTGCTTACCTTGACCATGCGCCGTCCCAATCTACAGGTGAATCGCCATTGCCGTCCCCTTTTTGAGCAAAGACCTGAAGCGACCTGGTTCGCGCGGATGGGACGCGAACGCCCGTCGACTTAGATACGTGCACTGTATTTTGGTTAAGGGATAATCTGGACTGAGCTTTGTACATAATGCAGCAACCTGGCATGTAGCGGCAACAATACCGTATGCAAGCTTAATAATAACAGTCAATTGCGACGGAGCGCGCTAGTAGCACATAAGGTAGAATTGCTAAGCCATGCGAACATCATCAAATTACACAGGTCACTTGAAGCTGGATTAACAAACTCGCACAAAAAAGCGACCGTACGGCATTTATGGCGTTCCCAGAGCTGCGGCAACATTATAATCTCATGAATAAGAAGCAATACAATGTTGTACATATTAATACATATGAATATATACGCCCTTATCCCTCCATGGGGCTAATGCAACGCCTTTGAGCCAAAGCGATGCGGGTTCTTTGGGAGCCGCAGAACAATCGCTGGAGCACAAAACAGGTATATCGCTCGGTCTCCCTCAATTGTACTGCATGAATCTTTTAGAGAGTATGACTGCACGCACGCTTCTGCGACTAGTTGCAGCATAAGCAATGTTACCTGTTTGTTGTTTCGTACCCTCCGTACATCAACCCTCTCGACACCACACTCCCAAACACGATAGATGCTTTCGCCCAAGGCGGCGAGGAATGCTTCTCGGTTGTAAAGCTCAGACTTTCGTGGTCTGTCCTTAGGACGGCGCCTTTGTGTCGCGATAGCCCCCCTCGCCGAAACACCGGATGCCGTCCTGTCCACAGTCCCTACTCCTTCGTCGATTCCCCATGCCGGGCATACCACACTGCATCGTCCTGGGGTGCCCAACACCTAAACCTGCACTATGCAATCGACTTTTTGACGGCAGTCCACAGCCTGCAGCAGCCTGCAGCCTGCAGCACCGAATCCCTAGGACTTCCCTCAGCAGCGATTTTCTCCTCAAGCACGGCTTCCATGTTTACAACTGCAATGAGTATTGTCTATCTCCATAAACGGAAGTGCAGGAACTGAAGAGAAGGCCGATCGAAGCTACAGCAGCAAGCTGAAGCGGTGCATGCACGTCGCGTTATATCGAAGTTTGTGCTCTTCCTTTTGGGGAAAAAAATAGCTGCGGGCATCTCCACAAGGATGCCGAAAAATATTTTTTTCAATATGCTCTGGCAAGTTTTTTTTTTGCCGGGTTCCTCTCCCCTGGTAAAATTGCCATGTTGACCACGGGCTCAGCAAGTATCTGCTCGCACTCAGCCATCCGGTTCCGGATGCAGCCGGCCCGCGGACCTAATCAGGGCGCGCTTCGCGCACAGCGCGGGTACTGCGGTAGCTGGCAGTGGGGGGCCTTGAGGGATCCCTTCGCCTGTCAGGAAGGATGCTTTCCCATGATGCAGACGTGTCAGCATGGCCTCTCGCGGATTTCTCAATCCTTTGTGCAGCTTTGAAGCGGCAGCTGCGCCGGATGACCTCACCAGCCTCCTGTCTGCATCAGCAGATATAGGCCTCGTGTGACAGCTTCCCTGATTCACGTTTCAGGGACCTGTACGGCTGGCCGTTGCTGGGGGCGTCCAAGGACGAAGCGGCTGCTTCCTCGCCCACTCCGTGTCTGGTCGGTTTGGTTGAGAGAAGTGTGAGGTACGTGATGTGGAAATGGAGGAAATAGTTTGCGCTGTGCCTTGGGACTTTGCTTGGGGGTAAATTTTTCCTTAAGAGGTGGCCAGATAACATGTATTCGTTTTTTCGTTGTGCGTGTACTTTTGTTACTTGATCATTGCTACGGTGCTCGTCTGTACTGTTGGGACTGTGCTGTGCGGATGGTGCGCGATTTGGCGTTTGCTGTTGTGTATCTCTAGTATGTGTGTTTGGTGCTTACTGGTATTTGCAGTGTTTACTCCTTGCATCTTTCTCCGCGCCTTCATGTCGCTGGTTCCAGTTTCCATCCTTTTGCCTTTTGTTTTTACCTCGTTCCTGTTATTCTCCTTTCCTGAGAGGGGCCGCTGCTTACTGCTTCTTCTTCTTATTATTCTTCTCGTTTGGTTAAGTCCCCATGCTAATGTTGTTTCTGTTTGGGCTTTGTATTTAGGTCTCTGCCTTGGAACTTAAAGGGTTTTGGGGGTGCGGCTCCAGGCTTGGGTTGCCGATTAGTAGTGCTCTTCTCTTGCTACTTCTGTCATCATCCTCAGGAAAAAATAGCAAAAGTAAACATATGAACTCTCCCCAAGTCACGAGTCCCATAACACGTCCTTGATGGCGCTGTAAGCTACTAAGCTTCAAATACGGGCAAAGGCCTGGATAGAAGAGCCATGACAAACTGTTTCATAGACTATTAACATTCATGCTTCTAAGAGCGGATATGATTGTATGAAGGAATGTGTGGCCATCCACATGGGTATCCTCTGGAGCTCCTCATATTGGTCTCGGGGCCAACAATGGACCAGCGTTTCAACAAGCAGGTTTTTTACCGGCCAGACGTTTTTTGCCTTAGAGATTTTGTATTGCTGATTTTGTAATCGCAAAATGGCCTGAAGACGTTAAACATCCGGTATCCCAATCAGATATGCCTATGCATACGTGAGACAAGGTTATTACCAGCAAGCCACCCAATGCCGGATTCGCTTTTGCTTGAAAGCGGCTGAACTTGGGAGCAACATGCAGTGAGCAGACAAGATGAACATTGTAGAACACTGTAGAAGGCCGCGGGGTTTGCATGAGGCCTGACAGGGAAATGCTTTAACAGACTTGCGGGGCTTACCACACATCAGAGCGTGGACATCGTAGACAGCCGTGTATAGGGCGTAAGGCGCAGTTACATATACAAGCGTCACCTCCCACCTAGGAAAAGTCCTTTCAATCGAGGATAAGTATAATTCTGTCCCAGTATTGTGAACTCCAAATAACCCAACCGATGGAGGAAGTAGGCCACGACATAATTTACACAGACCTCCATGACGCTTGGGTAAGGGACAGTGGGATGAGTATCCATGTTATGAATGGAGAATGCGGCAAATAGCTAAATACCCGAATCCAATTTTTGTATCGTAGCGTGCTGAGTGCTCTCGCAAATGCCGTAAATTGGTATGGTGCTGGAGTCTGGACCATGCGCGACTTTCTCTATTTTACTAAAATCTATTTCAACTGATGGATGATTAGCTATGGCACCTTGCATAACCATCACCAACTGCTCAATATACACGTCCCCTTGGTCACTGCCCGTGCAGTATAATGCATCGCTCGTGTTATATACCGAGATAGCATGTAGTTGGGTCTGCACCTTTGCGCATGGCTAGGCAGCGTGGAAGTGGCGATGTGGGCACTTTCTTGCTTTCGCGGTTTCACGTCCGCAAGGAAAACAAACAAATTAAACTATCGCCATGGATCTCAAGATAACACTGTAGATAACGCTGCAGCTTTAACGCCTTCTGGAGCATCACCGCTACCTATAATAGATGCTTCAACCCTTAGCGCAGAATGGTCTGGCTCGCAGTTTCCTGTTGCTTGCATCACTTTGGAAGGACACATGAACGGCAACGCGTTGGCTCGGCGCGGTGCTATACTGTGGCACAATGCCAGGAGCCTGGATATGTGGGACCGCTTGACCAACCCAGCAAGGAACCCGGCCCTTATGGAAGCTATGCTAACGGCGCTCAGCGGCCAGCTTCCAACGCAGCAAGTCGTGTTGGTCGCGGGGTCCACCTTCATAGCCCAGGCTGCCCAGCCAGCGGCAGCAGCCGCGAGGTTCACTTCGGACTTGCTCGCAGCTGTCTCGGTCCCCGTCCACATCTCCCTGGTTCAGTTCTCCGCGGGATCGCAAGGCGTCGTGGTACCCCGCGCACTGCTGCTGGTGTGTCGAGCCCCGCTGCTCCCACCGCGACACGTAGATGCCGGAGGTGGGTCCGGCGCTCCATAGGGCCTTGGAGGCACTGTGCAGTATACACCCCCACCCGCACCAACGAATCTCCTCCGCTTCCGTATCGTTCCCCCTTCATCCCGTACCGTTCCCTCTCTGCGCAACCCGCCACAACCCCAACCCTAAATCCCCTCCTCGCTCTTCGCCTTTCCGTTCCAACCCCAACCCCAACCCCGACCCCGACCCAAATCCCGGCCGCAGGGCTAGCCCCCATTCGCCAGCTGCGCAACTGGGACACAGCGTACCAAGGCCCGCAGCAGCAGCAGCAAGAAGCGGCTGGCGGTGGCGCTGCGGCCTCTGCCGTCGGTGCTTTAGGCGCTTTAGGCTTGGGGCAATCGCCGTCATGCGACATACCGGCGGGAGGTGTTAACGGCGAAGTGCTGGGGGACGACGGAGGCGGTGTGCCCGGCCCCCTGGTGGCGGCACACCGCCATCGGGACTCCATGGTCGCCGCCCACCTACCCGCCATCATCACAGTCTTCGCTCTGGACGGTCAGGTGGTGCACCAGAGTGAGTCCCAAGGAAAGGGTGAACGAGGGGAAGCTTGGGGGAGTTAGTTCAGTTAGATACGGCGGCATCAGGAGCGGGGTGGGTGGGTGGAGGAGTTCGGGTGGAAGAGGCCCCTGGGTTGAAGGGTGGACCATTCAGGCTGAGGAGAGGGAGAGGGCTCAGGAGTGGGAGT